TCGAGCGCATCAAGGCGCGCCACAACCACACCGTGCCCTGCATGGCGCTCGGCATTGCCGAGCTCAAGAAACGCCTGCAGGTGAGCATTGGGGGGCCGAGTTGGAATCAGGACGGGGGAGGAGGGAGAGTTGGGACGGGGAGACAGGAAGAGGGGCTTGCATGTGTGTGTGTGTGGGGGGGGGGGGGGGGGGGGGGGGGATGGAAGGAGTCCCACAACCACACCGTGCTCTGCATGGCGCTCGGCATTGCCGAGCTCAAGAAACGCCTGCAGGTGAGCATTGCGGTGGGGCTTGGGGCTTGGTATGGGGGAACGGGGAAGGGGAGATGAGGGGAGGGGAGGGGAGGGGAGGGGAGGGGAGGGGAGGGGAGGGGAGGGGAGGGGAGGGGAGGGGAGGGGAGGGGAGGGGAGGGGAGGGGAGGGGAGGGGAGGGGAGGGGAAGGGGCGTGTGGGGGCAGCAGCGGCGTTTGGGGGACCTTAACAGTGGGATGTGCACTGGGGAATAATAAGGAGTGGAGGCCACTTATTGTGTGAAGCAGGGATGGGTGGGGGCTGGCAGCACACAGGGATCTTACGGAAAGGCATTGTAGGCCGCTTTTATTAGCACAGTGTGCATGGTTGGGCTGTTCTTGTGCTGGCTCATTCATGGCTCATTCAAGGTGTTCTCCTGGCATGGCACGGCACGGCACCGCATGGCATGGCATGGCATGGCATTGCATGGCATGGCATGGCATGGCTGGCATGGCATGGCATGGCATGGCATGGCATGGCCTGGCATGGCATGGCATGGCATGGCATGGCATGGCCTGGCATGGCATGGCATGGCATTGCATGGCATGGCATGGCATGGCCTGGCATGGCATGGCATGGCATGGCATGGCATGGCCTGGCATGGCATGGCATGGCATGGCATGGCAGGTGGACAACCCATGGATGCCCATGGACAAGTTCCCCGAGGTGCATCAGTTCCTGGACCGCTTCTTCCTCTCCCGCATCGGCATCCGCATGCTCATCGGTCAGCTCCTCCCCTTCCCCCATCCCTTGCTTCTACTCCCTTGCTTTCTCCTGCTCACCTTTCTCTCACTTGCTTTTCTCTTCCTTGCTTCTCCTTCTTTGTGCATCCATTCACAGGTGGTACTAATTGTGGAAGAGGTTTTCCTGTCTATTCCAAACCACACCTCTCAGTCTTTATTCCTCTTCCCGTCTATCTGCGTCCATCCATCCGTCCATGCATACACACGCGCACAGGGCAGCAGATAGCGCTGCACAAGACAGGGCCGGTCAAACTTTTAAGTCGACTTAAAAGTCTCTTCTTCCTCGTCCCCCATATTTGCGTCCATCCATACATGCACGCGCACAGGGCAGCAGATAGCGCTGCACAAGACAGGGCCGGGCAGGGAGAGCATGATCGGGCTGATAGACACCAAGTGCCGGCCCTTTGAGGTGGCCAGGAACGCCATTGATGACGCCAGAACGCTCTGCAGTCGCACCTATGGGAACGCTCCTGAGGTCCACGTGTTCGGGGACCCCACCTTCACCTTCCCGTGCGTCGCCTACTCTAATTTACCCTGCCTTACCTCTACACTCTCGGTTATTGCATGAATGCTTTCTGTTCTTCCCCCTCTCTCCCAGCCCCCTGCTCCGCATTCCCCGGCAATGTCACAACCCCCATCCCCCTCTCCTTCGCCGCACCCTCATTCATTTCACACCTAATATGTGCGCTCGCACGCGCACACACACACACACACACACACACCTGCGTCACATGCTCTTGCAAGAGCTCCTTTCCCCTCACTTCTATTTCCCCCTTCCCCTTTCCCCCATCCCACGCCAGCTATGTGCGCACGCACCTGCATCACATGCTGTTTGAGCTGCTCAAGAACTCCCTCAGGGCCGTGCAGGAGCGATTCCCAGACACCCAGCCGCCACCAGTGCGAGTGGTGGTGGCCGATGGGATTGAGGACGTGGCCATCAAGGTCAGTCGTCAGTCAGTCCGTCAGTGAATCAGTCAGTCTGTCAGTCAGTCCGCCAATAAGTCCGTCTGTCAGTCCGTCGGTCCGTCTTTCAATCAGTCAGTTCGTCTGCCTGTCAGTCAGTTAGTCGGTCAGTCCATCTGTCTCTTGTCTGTATTTTCCGCCGTTCCCTTTTCTTGGCCTCCTTCTGTCACCAACCCAATGGCAATAGCGCCCCTCCCTATGCTGCAGCTTGCAACTTTGCCACCTTCCGAAAATCTCCCAATCCCCACCATGCCCATTGCCCACTGGCATAAAACATACCTCGTCACTGAATTCTCATAACATGCCCACTCTACTCCCACTGTTCCCATCCCCTTTCTGACCACTGGTAGGTGTCAGACGAGGGGGGAGGGATCAAGCGCAGTGGCTTGCCTCGCATCTGGTCCTACCTCTACAGTACAGCTTCCATACCCACTCCTCTACGCCAACCGCCAAACCCTCTCAACCCCAATGACCCCCAACCCCCCTCACCCACTTCCTCGGGACCTTCCACTCCGGGCTCCTCTTCTCTCTCCACCCCCTCTTCCCCATCCGCCATATCTCTCGCCTCCTCTCCCGCCTCCTCGGCCGCGTCGTCCCCTCGTGCCTCCCGGTTCACTCCCATAGGCAGTAGTTTTGCCGAGCCATGGGATTTGACAGAGGAAGATGGGGGAGTGGGAGTAGGTGAAGTGGGGGATGGGGTGACTGTGAGCACGATGGCGAGCGCTGATGGGGAGGAGTTGCCGAGCGTGATTGCTGGTTACGGTTACGGTTTGCCAATTGCTCGACTCTACGCGCGATACTTCGGGGGCGACCTACAAATATTCAGCATGGAAGGATATGGTGAGTTTAATATTGTCTGCAAAATCCAAGTTCTTCTCCTATGTGTGAGATTTCGGAACTAAAGGTCAGTGTGGCATGGAATCACTGTCAGTCAGATGTGGTTTGCTTGTGGTTCCCCCACCGCACGTGTGCGTCTTTGCTGTTTTCTGCTGCATCTCTCTGCTTACCGCATCCTGTATCGTGTTTGTTCCTCTTTCCCCTTGCTCAACAACAGGTACTGATGCCTATCTACACCTCAACCGACTCAGTAATGTGCAGGAGCCTCTTCCATAAGAAGACCTCAGTAACATACTCTAGCCTACACATTTGAAGTGTGTTACGCTGTAACATTCATTCATTTATGTACCTACAGTACTAATGATTTTTTGTGCTATGCATCATGCAAGGAAAATTATAATTTTAAACACACATGTAGTGTTTTTTAAAATTGTGTATTGTGAAAGCGAAGCTGCTTGTACTGCACAATTGGCATCGTCGAAGCGCGCTAAACGCCCTTCTCCAACTACAAAAACCGTGGGTTGGAGCTCATTTCCCTCCACCCACGTTTCTCAATTTTCAAACGGCTCACTCAACATTTCCGCTCGAGTAGTTTTTCCCTCCAAGCTGGCTAGGATTAAATCGCTTCCTAGAGGCGAGTCACCCTCTACTTTACTCAGCGACATTTTCAACTTCAATCGCTCAACGATGGCACCTACGCCGACACTTAACAACGGGAACTCGTCAACCCCCGCTTCCGACTCCGACCGTAACGCCCGCGATTCTGCGGGCGAACGCCGTAACAAGCGTCGGGCAGAAGACGGACCGTCCGCCCCGACTGCAGTGGACGTGCTGCTGGGCGGGCTCGAGGTCAACAAAAACGCCGAAACCCAGCAGCACCCTTCGGTCCCTGTGGCGCCAGTGGCGCCTGTGGCGCCAGTGGCACCTGTGGCGCAAGTGGCGACGGGGGCTGGCGCGGCACACGCGACTGACGCCGAGCACACGCCAGCACCCGCTGCTGGACCGTCGCGTCAGCGCCAGAGGAGGCGGACTGCAGTCTCCTCGTCTGACGCGACCGCCGCCCCTGCGCTGACGCAGGCGTTGACCCCGGACCAGGTCAACGCGCTGCTGTCCCTTCTACAGCAGCAACCCGTCAGCGTTACAGCCGCGGAAACTGCACTACCCGCCGCATCTGCGTCGGCTAAAAAAGAAACTGCAAAAAAGGAAAAAGGCACGCGAGGAGCACGGACGAACCGGCATGATAACGACGCAGCGACCGCCGCTCCCCCTGCTCCAGCGGTCGACAACGACACCGACGACTCTGAAGATGAAGCCGGTGAGGCTCCCGTCAACAATGCTAATTTTATTGGCACGGAACACCTCCCCCCCCTCCCTTCTTCTAACCTTACCTTCTCGGCGGCAACCTTCGTCAACGACTCCGTGCGAGAGCAAGCGGAGCTGCTGGAGGACCTGCGGGCGTACCTGCTGCACGCCGAATACAAGGCGCAGCGCGGCGATCCGGCGGGCGGACTCGAACTCATCTCACACGCTCTCAACCTCATCGCGGGGCGTTTCGAGGTGCTTCAAGTGGAGGACGCCTCCGACTTCCGCACGGCGAAGCGCTTCAAGCTGTACCAGCAGAAGAGCCTGCTGACTTCTCGACCCTTCAAGCAGGCAGTCGCGGACATGGCGGCGATGGACCGTGCGGCAAGCGGATACGCTCGTGTCAACCGCGGCGGAAACAACGGGCCGATGCCGTTCTTACCCAAGCGAGGCCCCCCGCCCACGGCCAATTGCCGTGGGTTCCGAGGCTCATGCTTCCGCTGCGGCCAGCCGGGCCACGTGGCAAGTGCCTGCCCTCGGAACGGGCATGGCGGCCAGGGACCCGCTCCGGTGGTGTAGGAGCGGGCCATGGGACTAGGCGCTTGGGCGCTAGGCACGGTGCACTCTTGAGTGCGAAGACCGTGGGCAACCCTAGGGGTTTGCGATGGCAAGAGGCCAGCCCTAGTAAAGGGTGGGATAGGCTTTGGGCCTAGGAGAGGGAAGGGGAACAACAACCCCTCGGTCCCATATGTTTGGCCACTTGGTGGCATGATGCATGCTAGGAAAGCATTGCTATGTGTGTTGGTTGATTTAATAAAAACTACCTTCCTAAAGGCCTATGGTTTTGGCAAAGAGACTATGAAAATCAAGAGGAGGAGAGAGAGAGAGAGAGAGAGAGAGAGAGAGAGAGAGAGAGAGAGAGAGGACGAGCGAGAGAGAGAGAGAGGAGAGAGAGAGAGAGAGAGAGAGAGAGCGAGAGAGAGAGAGAGAGAGAGAGAGCGAGAGAGAGAGAGAGCTTGAGGAGCGGAGAGAGAGAGAGGAGAGAGAGAGAGAGAGAGAGAGAACGAGAGAAAGCACAATGGACAACGGTGTCCATGGCCCTAGGCATCAGCCCCCACGCACTAAGGGCAGGCACAACCGTCCTACCAAGTTGACGAGGGACCAAAAAAAAAAAAAAAAAAGAGGAAACGAGGAGAAGAAGAGACATGCGTTGACATGCGTTAACACTCCCGACACATTCGTTGACATTTCATTCAATGGTTAATTCTCGTCACACCTTCGATCAATGGTTGCCCGTACATGTACATGCACACGCATGCTTTAACATGGAATACTCAACCCTTATACCACTTGGCCTCACATGTACAGGAGCACGACGGTGCGAGGCGGCATGCTACGACGATCCGTACGAATTTGCCGTTACAGACAGAACTATTACACACATGCGCGGTCGTCTCCGCGCGACATTTGCGTGGTGGAGCTCATGGTGCCCCAGCAGCCTTGTCCTCTCCGTCATCGCCAAGGGTTACTGGTTGCCATGGAGCCACGGCCCACCGCAACATTTCCACGATCGCAATCATGTCGGGGCAAACACGCATGCCACGTTCACACGTACCGCCATCCAAGAACTCATAGAGACGGGAGCGGCAATTCCGATGGCCGCAACGGAGCTTACGTGCATAAGTCCACTCAACGTGGTCGAGCAAAAAGACAAATGCAGGCTCATTCTTGATCTGAGGAAAGTCAATGCCAACTTGATCATCCCCAAGTTCAAGTACGAGGGGCTCAGCCGCGTCGCCGACCTGGCGCGCGTTGGGGACTGGATGTTCTCCATTGACCTCAAATCTGGTTACCACCACATCGACATCCACCCATCGTGCTGGAAGTTCCTTGGCTTTGAATTTGACAAGCGCACATACGCATTCCGTTCACTACCATTCGGCCTCGCGACAGCTCCATTCGTTTTCACGCAGCTCATTAAGCAACTAGCTCGGCGTTGGCGAGAACAAGGCATCCGAGTCGTCCCTTACGTGGACGACATCTTATTTCTCTGCCAGTCGAAAGACGACGCGCAAGCAACTTGCCAGCGGGTGATATTGGATCTTAAAGAGGCAGGCCTTGTGATAAACGCGAAGAAATCACAACTGTCACCATCGCAGCGTCTCAGATTCCTGGGCGTAGAACTTGAGACCGATACCGGCCGATTCTCCATCGGTCCAGACCGACGAGCCTCACTACATGCAACCATCCGGAACCTCCTGAGCGCAAGCAAGGCATGCCGACCAGTCCCGGTCCGCCACGTGGCCAGAATCACTGGCATGCTCGCATCGATGGGTGTCGCACTTGGCGCGACCGCTCGCGCATTCAGCCATGCTATGTTACAAGTGATCAACGACGCACCGTCATGGAAAAGCAGCGTCGTTATCCCCCCATCTGCAGCAGAAGAGCTCCAATTTTGGCTCGAGGAGTTCGACCGTTTCAACGGCGCACCTTTTCACGTCAAGAACAGCTACGACGCGGTAATCCATGTGGATGCCAGCTCTCATGGTTGGGGCGCCACTCTGACCACATTTCCGGGTGGCCTCGAAGAAGCTAGCGCGACCATGTCAGAGCCGCTACGAGGAACGTCTAGCACACGACGGGAGATCGAAGGCGTCCTTTGGGCGCTACAAACGTACGCGAACAAGATCAAGCAAAAACACGTTCTCGTGCGGGTGGACAACCAGGGCGTATTCTTCATCCTTCGCAAAGGCGGCTCTCACAGCCCCGACCTCACAACGGCATGCAAGAGCATCATCCGAACATGCATGGCGCTTGGCACGCGCTTGATCATTGAATGGATTCCGCGCGAGCTCAACACACACGCCGACGAGCTTTCAAAAATGGTCGACCACGACGATTACGCGCTGAAAACGCCGTGGTTCCGGATCTTGGAACGTCGTTGGGGTCCTCACTCCATCGACCTCTTCGCAAACTTCCGCAACACCCAACTGCCGCGATTCTGTTCGAAGATTCCCCACCCGGCAGCCATTGCAGTTGATGCATTCTCGATTACGTGGACACCTGAAAACAACTTCGCCTTCCCCCCACCTCAACTGATCCCAGCCGTCCTCCATCACGCACAACGCACCCATGCATCACTCACACTGATAGTTCCGCACTGGCCAGGTGCAAGCTGGTGGCCACTCTTGCAACCCTCCCCACGCACTTGGGCACCATACATCCACACGCACGTCCCCCTGACACACGGAAGCCAATGCCTAGACGTAGGGTCCCATTCAACTGCTTTTTCGGGCATGGGACTACCGCACAGCCCAATCACTGCACTGCGAGTGGCATTTGACTAATTCAAAATATCTACACCTTGTGTTCAGATTTGCTCCCAAAGTTACACGACCAACTGATCAACATGCTCGCGCAGTCCCGCGCCGATTCTACGATCCGGACATATGAACCATACTGGGCCAAGTTTCGAGCCTTCTGCACAAAAGTGAACCTTCCATTCCTTCCGGCATCCGACATGACCCTCGCGCTGTACCTGGTACACGCAATCCGACGCAAAGCCACCCTGTCCGTAGTGCAGCTAACGTGCTCGGCGGTCAGCTTCGCTCATCGCATGACTGGGAGCAAATGCCCGACAACCGGACCGTTCACCACCCAAGTCCGTGACTGTGCAAAACGACACTGCCCTCGCCCTACTCGTCTGAAGGAACCCGTCTCGATCCAACAAGTCCGGGACATGGCCGCGAGTTACTTGCAGTCCGACGATCCTGCGCAATTTCAGAAAGGGTTGATCCCCATCCTCATGTACTCCGGATTTCTGCGATACTCTGACCTAGTAGCCATAAAATGGCAAGACATCCAATTCGACGACGAGGTCATGTGGATTCTCATACCACATTCCAAGACCGATCAAGCTGGTCACGGCACTTGGATACCCATTGCAGCAACGGCGGACCCCTGCTGCCCAGTGCGCTGCACCCGACGCTTCATCCGACTCGCTGGCTATGGTCCACGGTCAGAGGGACCATTGATTCGTGTCTTCGGTCACGGTTCAACCAGCGAGGGCCAGGCTAGGCCACCTTCTTACACTACGATCCGGAACTGGTGCAAGGAAGCCTTCGCAAAGGTTGGCCTTGGAGAGCTGCAGCTAGGCACCCATTCTTTCCGAAAAGGTGCAGCCACAGTAGCAGCCAACACGGGAGTGCCAGATAGAGTCTTCAAACGGCTGGGCAGATGGCGAAGCGACACAGCAAAGGAAATGTATGTTACGCCATACGTCGAGCCTCTTATCGAAGCCTCCCGTACCCTCCAAGATTCGACGCATGCGGTGTCATCGGCACAACACACAGAGGCACTCGTACGCAACCGAAGGCCTTCGATGCCCATGTCTCAGGGAACCCATTTGTAATGAGAACGATGCCAATTGATAAGAAAGAAAGCAAGCTTTCTCAATATTATAATTTTTAAACACACATGTAGTGTTTTTTAAAATTGTGTATTGTGAAAGCGAAGCTGCTTGTACTGCACAATTGGCATCGTCGAAGCGCGCTAAACGCCCTTCTCCAACTACAAAAACCGTGGGTTGGAGCTCATTTCCCTCCACCCACGTTTCTCAATTTTCAAACGGCTCACTCAACATTCCCACCACCCACCCCAGAGTAAACCGCCTTGCTAATGCCACTTGGATAGGGTATATCCTAGCTAGCGTTATTAGTCCGCACTAGCTTGTGTCGAATGATGATACAAATGTTGTAATACGCCATTTGTAATGAGAACGATGCCAATTGATAAGAAAGAAAGCAAGCTTTCTCAATATGTACATTGTGAAGGCTTGCTATTTGTCTTTGCAAATGCAACGTCTCATTTCAACTGGCAAGTACAAGATTTTTTATCGTCCAAGCATATTACATAGTAACAACGATGAATTCTCTACTATACTAGGGTGGGAGGGTGGGGAACTTGAAAACTGAAAGTTTGAAATGAAAAACGTGGGTGAAGGCCAAATGGCCTTCGCCCCCTCTTTTATACCGAAAAAGAGGGGAAGTAGCGGTTCGCCGAAGCATTTTGCTTCGGTACAAATATCTTCGCTATTCACAATACACAATTTTAGAAAGTGTTATGTTGAGAATATCTTTGTATGCTTTTATTATAAGTGCACTGTTCGAAGTGTGCTTACAGGGGCTCGCCATAGCGAGGGATTTGAACCTGGTGGCGAGTCAACGGGGCGCAACCGAGCACAGCGGTTGCGACCCGCGTGGCAGCTGAAAAGTCGGATTCTGCAGGAGGCAGCGAGAATAGTACACGCAACTGACCTGCGGGGCGCGGCAGGATACCGCGCCCTTGCCGAAGCTGAAAAGTCTCGCCAGTGCGACTGTAACAAGGCAACCCAAGCGACGCAGCGCAACTGTTATACAGTTGCGCCTTGGTAACTGTTTGCCCTATCTGTTTGCTATATAACAGAATGTAATGCCTTGCTCATATTACACAATTCCCAAGCTTGTGTCCGGCCTACCCTCGGCCGCTGCTCTGGCACCAAGTTACAAGCTAGGAGAGCTACCTCTGAGTGACCATTGCCCCGCCGTAGGGACGTCGTTATCTTCCTAGAGCTTCCGCTGCGCTCTAGCGACTTCTTGTTTCCAACACGTTATACATTTTCAAAAATTTGCATAATGCGAATATTGCCTTGAGGTTCAGCTGTGCAAGGAATGCTTCAGAGGAGCATGGATTGTCTCTGATTGCCAAACTAATAGCTAGATGTAGAGTGACACTCTATATCATTGGTTGCAAGTGCCACTCCCTCGCCCCTGTTGTGGAGTTGGCAGATTGGATGTGGGAGTAGTGCTTGGGTGGGGGTCAGGGCCTAAGTTATCAGGGCAATTACCCTGTTTTGACTGAAATTATAGGGTGTTTTTTCTAGGAGCCCTGATTTTCACAAGGTTTTTTCCGGACCAGCCCGTAAAACTGAAGGGTGATTTTTGAGTCAGCTCGGATCTCTCCGGGGAGTTCTCAAGGGGACCCGTATAATTTTAGCAGACATGTTCTCCCCGACCTGCCTTGCATTCCTCTCGGTCTCCCTCTAAACACACGTTGGGCCAATTTTAGTGAATTTCCTAACCACTCTCTCCTTGTTGGCCTCCATGTGTCTGATTGCCCCGTTCTACGTCGACATGGCTTAGAAGGCCAATAAGGAGAGAGTGTCTGATTGCCCTGTTCTCCCTATGTACTCTTCCTCATCGTATTTTTTTCTAAGTCTACAAAAAGTATCTCGCTCACCCCTCCAGAGCCACTCCATCTCCAATCTCCCCAGCCCTCGCGCAACCCACTGTGAGTTTCCCGCGAAATTCTGGTAATGCATGTTTTCAGGCCTTTTCTGGCTCGAACCCGGATTCGTCAAGGTTTTTTTCCCGCTGGCTCGGATTTTACAGGGTCTTTTTCACAGGGGCCCGGATCGTCCGAGCTAGCAAAAATCCTAGCAATAGCCCTGGTGGGGGTGTGTACGGGGGTAGTTCAAGTGTGAAACATACTGCCCTCATGTAATATCTTTTGCTGGAAATCCTGAGGGTTATGATATGATTCCGTGTAGATGCGTATGTGGTCGAAGTACAGTAGTGGTCACTCGCACTCGTCAGGCTTCAGCCTCGTGCCGTGTACTGCCCTGTATGGCGCGAGTCACCTTTCGTCGTCCTGTTTCGTTGAGGTTTTCTGCGACAGTCTTTTGCGTGGTGCCAAGCAGTCTCACGTGTGGTTCACGTCAGCTTATCCCACTAGATGGATTGATCTAACTGGATTGGGTCGTTGTCACTCCATTCTTGCGCCATCGGAGGTCTGATCTGGCAAGCAGCAAGGCGAAGTGACATGGCTCCAGGGCACTTCACGTGCCATATCTTGCAAAGCTGCCCATTTTTAGGCAGCTTGCTACGAATATGCTTTGCAATACCAGCCTAGAAAAATACAATTTCTCATAACTAGTGTAACTTTTGTGATGTGAACTGGAGATAAAAACACCGGAAATCTTTCTCCGTGTCGGTGTTTCTGTACTCGTGCTCACCCAAGTCCCCAGAATTCATCATGATCCGCATCTATCCCATCCCATCCATGTCAAGCTGTGCCAAGTGTGCGGCACCAGCAGGGGAATTGTCATCAGCCCGGAAGGAACGCCACATCCCGCAATCAGTGCACCCGGCCTCTTCGGGGTCTCTTTGCGCTTCCGCTCCGCCAACACCTCCCTCTTCCCGCGTTGTGTTACCGTCCGCTCCGCACACTTGTTTCTCCCCCTCCCCTCTTCCAAAAGCTCTCCGCATCTCGGGCAACCCCGCTCCCCCACCCCTCCCCGCATACCATGTGCGGCATATGGAGCATTTCTCCCCCTTGAGTTGTCCGCGCACATACAAAACTCTCCCCAACCCCAACCCCTCGAGATCTCCGTGACGAGCAGCACCGCACCTCGCCAAACCAGATTCAGTCAGAACGACAACCAGATCCCACTCACATTTTTCTTTCAAACACATCTCCCAACCCGTGTTTCATAGATTATTCCCAGCCGCCTGGCAGTCGTTGTGGCATCGCCTAATCGCCGGCATCTGGGGCCGATAGTGGCGGCATTCTGCCGTTTCGCGGAGCCCATTTGATGGCCGATCAGGTCGAGTCCTCGTCGCCGCTTCATGGGGGGCAAGGCAGCCATGGTAAGCACATTCCAAGGGTCAGATCAGAATGCAGGTTTGAGTCAGAAGTAGCTTCAGACCTCCATGCAACTCTATTGTGCAGGGTGAAAACATCTAGTTCCCCTGTGTTGCCATCGCATTGTCTCACGTTCCACAGTATTCGTCGTCACTACCTTTCCAATATTCGTTTTCTCCCGTCGATCCATCTCCCACGCCACTCCTTTTTTCGGTTTCTTGCAGCGTGGTTCTCGTTTTGCGTCAACGTCGCCCTCTTCTAATCACCACTCCTTTCACGCAATCCCTACCTTACGCTTATCGACGAAGCACGTCATTCCCACGCGCCGTCATTTCTCATCTCCTCTGTCCTTTCGCTCCGCTCATTCCTTCTCGTGTGCCCTCGCATGCTTCTCACAGACCCGTCAAATCCGTCGCTAAACGGAGGGACACCAGGGGCATCGCTCCCCATGAGCATCCCCGCCGCTCCCGCCAGCATCGCGATCGAGCCCGACGGCTTTCCCGCCACGTCACTATCCCCGCCAGCCGGCCGCATCCTCAATGCGGGAGCTGCGGTTTTCGTGCCACGTGTCCCTTCCCGAGGAAGCCCGTGCCTCCTCAGCCGGCGCAGCCGCCGCATCCGGGGATGATGCCTATGCCGCAGTCGATGTCGCCGTCAATGGCGCCGTCTATGGCTCCATTCAATGTTCCGCACATGGGGCAAGGCCTCCCCGCGCCTATGGGGTACGGCCCGCCGGGGATGGGCGCGCAAGGCATGTACGGGCACCCAGGGGGCGGCGGCGGCGGCGGAGGCGGGTACATGCACAGCGGATCCCCGGTGGAGGCCAGTCCGCTCATGCCGATTGCCGCGGGTCCGCGCAGGCAAGCGCGCGGACACGGGGGGCATGCGCACGGACACGCGCACGGGCACGGCGGGCATCCGCACGCGCACGGGCACATGGGGGGAATGATGGGGGGCCCGCATCATGGGGGAGGGGTGGGGATGGGGATGGCGATGGGGATGGGGATGGGTGTTCCTATGGGGATGCCGCCGGCAGGAATGATGGCGGCGGCGGATCGCGAGGGCGTCGTGGTGATGCAGAGCGGATCGCCGCAGATGGCGCCGCAGATGCCGGCGCAAATGCCGGCGCATTTGCCGGCCCAGATGCCGCTGCCGGCCGTGGAACCCGCGGAGGCAGCCGGAAACGAGCTTCCGCACGAGGTAGTAGCGGCTGGGACGAACGGCGTCGCGGATGCTTCTCCTAGCGCGGCGGAAGCGGCGGGGGCGGGGGATGTTGAGAGTGCGGCGCATTCGGGCAATGGCGCGGCGGAAGCGGGGGGCTCCGAGGGGGCGGAGGCGAAAGCGGAAGTGGAAGCGGGAGGTGAAGGTGCGAGCGTGAGTGCGGAGAGGAGTGAGAATGTGGGGTGCGAGGGAGCAGCATTGACAGACCAAGGGAAGGTGACAGAGAAAGAGGGGGAGAGTGCGAGGGGAGGGAAGGGCGAAGGAGGAGAGGGAGAGGGGGAGAAGAGAGAAGGCGGGGATAGTGAAACAGCGGAAGCGCAAGCAACGAAATCACAAGCAGCGGAAGCGCAAGGAGCGGAATCGCAAGAAGCTGATGATGATAAGGACTGGGTAAAGGTAGACCACCACCATCACCACCACCACCACCACCACCACCAGCAGCAGCAGCAGCAGCATAAACACCCGCAGGGCGGGCATACCGGCTCGCAGTCGCACGCACACGGGCACGGGGCGGGGCAAGGGAAGGGGGGGCAGCAAGGTGCGGCGGCGGCGCATGGGAAGGCGAAAGGGGGGAAACAGGGGAAGGAGCCGAGCGTGCAGCTAGCGGGGAAGGAGTTGGAGGAGGTGAAGGAGAAGATGGTGCGACAGGTGCGTTCTGGGGCGGGTGCGTGCTGGGGCAGGTGCGACGCATGCGTTCTGACACCTGAAACGCACCTGTTGAAAGCGAGAAGTTCGGCAATTGGGAAGGGGCGGGGCTGTGAAGAGGGGCGTGGATGGGGTTGTCACAGGCATGGATGGGATGCACGGGGGTAGGGTGGTGAAGGAGATGGTGTGTGTGTGAGAGGAGAACCGGAGGGTTGAACGGATTATGAGTTCTTTTTCCCATTGCATTGCTCTCCTCCTTCCCCTCCTCCTGCCACCTGGGATGTTCCGTCTTCTGCCGTCGGGACGGATTCGGTTCTTGTTCCCCATTCAAACAACCTCCCTCCTTCCCTGTGCCCGTCGGTTTCTCCTCCTCGTCTGCCCCTCCCCTTCGTCTGTCTCCCCTCCTCGTCCGTCTCTCCTCGTCCGTCCGTTCCCCCTCCTCGCCCGTCCGTTCTCCCTGGCATGGGGCATGGGGCATGGGGCACATGGCGACAGGTGGAGTTTTATCTGAGCGATCAGAACCTGCCCACGGACAACCATCTCATGAAGCTCGTGCGCAAGGACCCTGACGGATACGGTCAGTTGTTCCTCTCATCCATTTCCTTTTCCTCTTCCTCCTGCTGCTGCTGCCGCTGCTGCTGCTGCTGCTCGACTTGCCGTTCTGGCATCTCCCTTTGTGCCTCCCACTTTTGTTTCTGTCTGCTGCTCAGCAACCACTCTTCACACCACTGCATCGTTCCCCCCTCCGTTCCCGCTTTCCTCCTTCCCCTTTCCCAACTTCCCCCCACCTGCCCTTATCCCCCTCCGCCAGTGCCGCTCAAGATAATAGCGGAGTTCCGCAAGATCCGTGCGCTCGTGCCCCAGGGCTCGCCCAACGTCGCAGTCGTCAACCTTCTCGCCGTCGCCCTCAGAGCCTCGCCCTTCCTCGTCCGTGCTGCTCGCCCTTCCCGACCCATCCTGCGCCCTCTCTCCACCTCTCTCTACCTCTCTCAACCTCTCTCCACCTCTCTCGACCTCTCTCGGCGTCTCGCCGTCCCTTGCCGTCCCTCGCTCTCCCTCGCTCGCCCTTTCTCTACCTCGCCGTCCCTTGCTGCTATGGCTTTTTGTTCTTACTCCCCATATACTTCCCCACATCACATTCCCCAAATTCTCCGCTGCAATTCCCCCATTCCACCCATCCGCACATGCAACCCCCTTCCCCACCCCACCCATCCGCACGTGCAATCCCTTTCCTCAACCTTTCCATTGCTCCCTCCCACTTCTTCCCCGGATTTCCCCCCCCCCCCCCCCCCCTCACCCCACCCATCCGCCCGCGCACTCCGCGCTGTGCGTGTGCTGCGCGTGCAGGTAGTGGGGGAGGATGGCAAGAAGGTGCGGCGGGCGGTGCCCCTGGGGGAGGTGGATCTGGAGGAAGTGCAGGTTAGCGCGGGCGTTAAGAAATGGGGAGGGGGGGGGGGAAGAGGGAGAGTGGGAAAGATTTGGAATTTGCTGGGGGTGGTGGTTTTGGAGGAAATGCATGTCGGCGAGACTGTAACAGGAAGGGGGAGCTGGGTGGGGAAGGAGGGGAGGGGAGGGAAACGGGTTCAGGGAGCAAAGGGGTGAGGGGAGACCTTGGGAGAACGTGTGTGTGTGAAGTTATTTTCCGTGCCAAAGTGAGGGTGGATGCGCGGTAGACGGGCCAAGTGGATGAAATGAAACGATGGGGAACCGGGAAAATTAACAGCAGAACCAAGAAACTTCACATCCTCTACACACCCCTCCAGACGCTTCCAGACTCCTTCATGGCCCTGTTCACTCCTCCACACTCCTCCATACCCTTCCATGCCCCTCCCTGCCCCTCCCTGCCCCTCCTTGCCCCTCCCTGCCCCTCTCTGCTCCTCCGTCCCTGCACGCCCCTGCACGTGCATTCTCATGTGCGTCACAGTCACGTGGGGATGGCTACGCACTTGGCAAACCCATCTTTCTGAAACAAGTAACGGATTCGTAAAGAGGACCAGCCCGCCCTCCCTCCCCCACCTCCCTCCCCCACCTCCCTCCCCCACCTCCCTCCCCCACCTCCCTCCCCCACCTCCCGCCCTCCCCACTCGCGGCACCAGGGGCGCTCGGTGGTGGCAGAGAATCTTTCAGAGGACCACTGTATTCTGGCCACCGAGCAAGGAACCGACTGAAGAAACAGAGTTACTCCGTTCCTCTCAACCCTGCACTCGCTCCTCCCTCACCTCCCCTCCCCCGCCTCCCCCCTCCCCACACCAGCGGCGCACGGTAGCGGCGGTAAACCTACCAGGGGACCACTCCATTCGTAAAGCGAGCAACAAACTAGTACATGGAACCTACTAACGCACAAGACGACTCCCTTCCTCCCGCCCCTCTCTGTTGCCCCTTCCCCCCCACCTTCCCCCCACCTCCCCCCGTTCCCCCATCTCCCCCGTGTCTCCACCAGGGGCGCACGGTGGTGGCGGAGAATCTACCAGAGGACCATTCCATTCCGGCCATGGAGGCTCTCTTTGCCAAGGCCGGCAAGTGAGTGCAGTGTGGTGCACCGTGGTGTGGTGCGGTGCGGTGCGGTGAAGTGTGGTGTGGTGCGGTGTGGTGCAGTGTGGTGTGATGTGGTGTGGTGCGGGGCATGTGGCGCGTGGAAGCATGCTGTTCAGGGGGGTCTGTTGAAAAGGCTTTACAAACACGCGTTTTGCTGTTTTCTGTTTTTGGCTAGCTTCTTTCTTGCTGTACGTTTCCCGCTCACTTGTCCCTTCTCTCCTTCCCTGCTTTCTATCTCACTCTCGTTATTCCACCCTGCCTTTGGTGTCAACCAACCCATGCAGAGTGAAGATGGTGCGAGTGTGCAAGCCTGAAGCGGCCAACAGTGCCAACCAGGCCGCCACAGCCGCAGCAGCAGCTGAACCCCCTTTTCCCCCCTGCGCTCAACTCCAGTCCCCCCTCACTGTTTGTTCCCCCACCCTTTTGCCTCAACTCGACCCATGCAGAGTGAAGATGGTGCGAGTGTGCAAGCCTGAAGCGGCCAACAGTGCAAACCAGGCCGCCACAGCTGCAGCAGCAGCTGCGGGCGCGGGAGGGGGGGCAGGCGGGGGCAACAGCGGGAGGCACGGGCACAAGCAGCATGCGCACCACCATGACCTTGTGGTTACCAACAAGGTGGGACTGAGCAAGGGGTTTTGAGAATTCTCAAAAATCTCTAACAAGGTGGGACTAAGGAAGGGGTTTTGAGAACTCTCAAAAATCGCTAACAAGGTGGGACTAAGGAAGGGTTTATGAGGCGTTTCGAAAGTCGTCTCAGCCCAAGCAGCATGCACACCAGCACGACCTTGTGGTTACCAACAAGGTGGGGCTTGGCAAAGGGGAAAGGGGGGAAGGGTGACGTGTGTGTGGGTTCGTGTGTGGCTTTCTGTGTGGAAAGCATGGGCACAAGCAGCACGCACAACACTGTGACCTTGGTGACTTTTGACTCGACTCAGAAGTCACCTTGTGTGGAAGGCATGGGCACAAGCAGCACGCACAACATTGTGACCTTGTGGTTGCTAACAAGGAAGGCCGCTTGTCCTCCCTCGCACACTCTCCTACCCAGTAATTCCTTCTTGCAATGACCTTCCCCTCGGCAGGTGCACGCTTTGGTGGTGTATGAGAGGGTGAAAGAGGCAGAGAGAAGTCCGTGTCTCGCTGCACCTTTGTGAATCTCACTTCATCTCACTGCATCCCCCTGTGCTGGCACACCCATCCCCCCCCCCCACCGTCAATCGCACTGGCAGCTGCACGCGTTCGTGAAGTATGAGAGTGTCGAGGAGCCAGAGGGGGGCGTTTCTCAGTGCACCTAAATGCATCTTATTTACTGCATGCATGCCACTGTGCTGCCTCACCCCATCCCACCCACCGTCAACCCCACTGGCAGCTGCACGCGTTGGTGGAGTATGAGAGTGTGGAGGAGGCGGAGAGGACAGGTCTCACTGCCCCTGAGTGACTTATATTTCATCTTGTTGCATCCCACTGTCTGTGCCTGCACCCATCCCACTGGCAGCTGCACGCGTTGGTGGAGTATGAGAGTGTGGAGGAGGCGGAGAGGGCGGTTGAGATGCTCACAGACGAGAACAACTGGCGCAGCGGCCTGCACGTGCGCCTGCTCATCCGCAAACCAGCACATGTACGTAACAGTGGCACACATGTTCTTTTTGAGGCGCCTCAAAAGAAGCCAGCACATGTACCTAACAGCGGCACACATGCTCTTTGATAGATCTCAACTGTGTGTGCGGCTGCTCATCCGCAAGCCAGCACATGTACGGACCGGCGGCGCATGTGCGTGTAGCTTGTGAGAATTCTCAATTGTGCACATTTGCTTGTACATGTGCTGCTGCCTGCCTGCACGTGCGCCTGCTCATTCGAAAGCCAGCACATGTACGTAGCAGCAGCACATGTACGTGTAGCGACGGGAGGGGTGTGAATGTCCCAGCTTATTTGCACTTATGCTGCTGCCTGCCTGCACGTGTGCCTGCTCATCCGCCAACCAGCACAAGTAGATCGCAGTGGTGTGCAGGCAACAAGCACATGCATGTGATTTGTTGTGCTTTGCTATGCATGTGCATTGGCTTGGCAGTGTCCTCCAGTTACATTTCATTGTCCATCCTCATCTCCCTCTCCATCTTGCTCTTGCTCTCACTCTCACTATCATCCCCACTCTCCCTCTTATTACTCATTCTTCAGAAGCAGCACCAGCATCAGCATCACCACCAGCATCCGCACCAGCACGCGCATCAGCAGCACCAGGGACAGCAGGCACATGCAGGGAAGAACAAGAAGGGCAGCCAAAGCAGCCTCCACAGCAACCACAGCAGCACCGGCAGCCTTTCTGCCGCTGCCGGTACAGCAGCAGCAGCAGGAGCGGCAGCAAAAGGGGTCGGGGGGGGAGGAGCAGCAGGGGTTGTGGATTCATCAGCGGAGGAGAATCTTCTAGATGGCGTTGCTGCCAGTGAGGGATTACTGGCACTAGATGATGGCGAGAATGACGGGGACGCGAGTAGCAACCATGATGCTTCACCCACCGCTGCAGCCGCTGCTGCTGCAGGTGCTGGTGGTGCTGGTGGGAGAAGGGGTGGTAGCATGCCGGCACTCTCTCCCCCTGGCGACGGTGTCCTTTCCATGGTACGTCCCAGCTTTCTTTTCTCTTACTCCTTCCCTTGTCCCCTCCCTCACTCATTCCCAGCTCCCTCTCTTACCCATTCCTTCGCTCCCTCGCTTACTCATTCCCTCGCTCCCTCTCTTACCCCTTCCCTCACTCCCACCCTCCCTCATTCCCTCGCTCCCACCCTCACTCATTCCTCGCTTCCTCCCTCCATCAGTCCATCTTTCACAGCCTCTCCCTCGCTATTCCCTACTACCCTACCTCCCTCCCGCTGCCCGCCTTTTCTCCCTCTCTCACATTCTCCTCCTCCTTCTCGCACCGTCCCTTGCCTCTCTCATTTCCCTCTCCATTCCCTCTCCATTCTCTCTCCAGCCTGACAGTGAGCCGAGCAGCAGCAGCCCCCGCAAGGGCCGGGCTATAAAGGCACGGAACAAGGGATCAGGGAGCAAGCTCTCGGGAGGATCTGGCTCCTCCCACAACCAAGGCTCATCTCTCTCCCGCACGCCCGGGCGCGACGGGAGTGGCAGCAGCTTCGGCAGCGCACATAACCACCACGGCAACAGCCATCATCAGCACCAGCACCATCACTCGCCGAACAACACCCCGCCGCGCTCGCGCATCGGCAGCAGCGGCAGCGGGAGTGGGAGTCATCATCACAGCCACTTGCACCCGCACCAGCACTCGCAGCACCACCACCACCACCACTTGCATGGAGGAGGGACCCCCCCGAAAGGCGGGAGTTTACCGTCTGCTTCTTTTCTGCTGCATGGCAGCCCGTTGGGAGGTGCGGGAGGCGGTGGGATTCTTGGGTGCGGCAGCGGAGGTTCGGGAGAAGGCTCGTCGCTGCTGATGCGGCCCCCTCCTGGTCCCCGCATGCCGGATGGAACTAAGGGGTTTGCCATGGGGCGTAAGATTACCGGCAACATGAACAGGAAAAGTGCAACGATTCCAGTGGGTATTGCGGGTGGGGAGATTGGGTCAGGGAGTGCGGTGGGTATGATGGGGGCGGTGGAGGGAAAGGGGAATGTGGGAATGCGCAAGGGGGGAAGAGGGGAATGCGCAAGTGTCGGTGAATGTGTAGGTGGTTAGGGCAGACTTGTGCCTAGCACTCATCGTAATTTGCGGTGTGACTAGGAGTGCTTTTTTCCCCGTGGGTTTGAGGCTTGATGCGAGCTAGGTTGTTGGATGGGTTCAGGATGTGCCATGGTTTGGGATGGAATGGGACGGGGAGGGATGCTATGCGATGTCAACTATAGCCTTGAGGGGAGTGTAAGGCAAATTGATGCTTATGGCTGGGCAGCTGGACAGAATCTCGCTCAAAATGGCTACATAAAACTTGTGCTGACTGAACGGTGCCTGATCAGATGGCTTGAAAAGAAAAAGCCTAACAAATAAAACGGTGGTAGCTCTGGTAGTTTGTTGGCCGTAAGGAGAAGAAGCGTATACACTGCTGAGAGCCATACACGTCAAGCCGGGTGCACTGGTCCATTGTTCGCTTCATGGTGAAGGTCAACTTCCGTACAGCAGTACAGTAGCACCCCACCGTACCAAAACCACGTCGGCGAGCGGAAGTCGTGGCAGAACCCTTGAAACTATGCTCCTCATCGAACTCTACACCAGCTCGAAACGAGTGGGTACACACCCCTCTGACATGTCAGTGAGCTGGTGCCACGGGTGTTGTGGTGGAATAAACGCTTCGATGCACCTTGATGAATCAATGCACTGGGATGAGTCAACGTGAAACCCAACTGCTAAATTGGCCGCGGGTTTTCTTTACTGGTTGGAAAACCGATTGAGAGAAACAGCAACACCGCAAAGGTGATGTGTTGTGTGTACGTGTGCACGCCCTTCAGCAATTCCAGCTGCACGGTCGTTGTTCTCTTGTAATGTAAGAGCGTGTTACACCTGCCCTAATCTCAAGGATCACGTAGCTAAGATCACCATAACCCCAACCCTAGGATTACGAGTGGCAAAACAACAATTTTTGGTGCACATCACAATCCTTGTTGGTGTACCATCTGCAAATTTGCAATGGTGATCCTCTGCGACCAGGCGACGTCGCCTGAAACGACGCGACAGTCGCGATCGTCGGATATTTTTGTTGACCACGTTGACTGCGTTACTGATCCGAAATCAACCGCTTTATTGGTTCGAACTTCATCAAAAGAATGCTCTGATTAGTCGCGATTTTGTTACAGCAGTTCACGACAACAAAAGTTTCGTCATCAAGGATCACCTTGTCTTTGGTACAAAGATGCAAGGATCACCGAGAGATTGGCAGTCACCACGATCTCCCAAAAAACACCAAGATCGGGTATCACGATCTCTCGTGATTTCGATCCTTCCTCTGTTGGTACATCACCTGACACAGTGATTACTGTACAGTGGTAGGTATGACACTGTTCTGTAAGGATCGCCTACGTGATCCTCAAAATGCAGCAATCTTTGCTTGGGTGTACCACGCTCTAACCTTCATCACGCTTAAACAGTCAGATCCCATCAACCCTCTGATTCACCATTGCAACTAGACATTGTACAGCTCACCATGCCCCCATAAATTCCACACATCAACCACTCATACCCTCGTGATCAGGTTTGTTGGGTGCAAAACGAACGGCGGTACTTCTGTCGGTCTGTTCAAGGACAGCCCTGGATTCCTCTCGTGGTGTCCAGCTGGCGCGTGCGTGACCCCCCTCAACGATTCAGTTCGAAGCCCACACGTCGGCCCACAGATTTGATGCGGTGACGTCTTTCCAGAGGCACCGACTAACGAAGCTTGGGAAGGTTCGGGTCGGTCCGGTTGGGATTCAGGTCAGGTCGGGTCACGCACAGGGCCTAAGTTATCAGGGCAATTACCCTGTTTTGACTGAAATTATAAGGTTTTTTTCACAGCAACCTTGATTTTCACAAGGTAATTTTTGGACCAGCCCGTAAAACTGAAGGGTGATTTTTGAGCCCACTCGGATCCTCAGGGATGTTTTCAAGGGGACCCGGATAGTTTTAGAACACCATCGTCCCCGACCTGCCTCGCATCCCCTCCCTCTCCCCGTGTACAACGCATAGGCCACTTTCAGTGAATTTTCCTTAGCATTCGCTCCTGGTTTGGCCTCCTGGTGTTTGACTTCCGGTACTACGTTGAGGTGGCTATTAGCACTCCTCCACGTATAAAAATTTTTAAGTATACAGAAAGTCTCTCTCCCCCCTCTAGCGTCGCTTTTTAATGGCCAACCTTCCCAGCCTTCGTAAAACTCACGGTGAGTCTCTCACCCACTGTGAGTTTTACGATCACAGGCCACCCGCGAGATTCTGGTAAGGTAGGCTTTCAGGCCTTTTCTGGCTCGAACCCGGATTTGTGAAGGCTTTTTTCCCGCTGGCTCGTAATTTACAGGGTCTTTTTCACAGGGGCCCGGATCGTCCGAGCTAGCAAAAATCCTAGCAATAGCCCTGGTCACGCAGAGGGGAAGGAAGGTCCTCAAATTAGGGGCCTGCGATCAAATCGGGTCCAGGAGGGGACTAGCACTGTATACAGTGTGTTTGATGTTCGTTGGTCCTTCTGCCATAAAAAGTTCGTTGATTCTCGAAACTCGCCGTTCCAATTTGCATCCGTTTGCGCGACTGCCCAAGTGTACATCAGAAAGTACGGTGCAGATGGACTGACTGCTCACATTTCCAATGGAGTGTAGCCCTAAACTTGTCGGTGATGCCAATTTTGTACATTGCAACCGCCAGTTCCTTCATCATCCCAGGATTACCAGAACGGGAAAACAATTACACGTACAATTACCGTACAAGCCACCGCAAATCGCCTTCATCAAACACCTTCACAAGGTTTGCCCCATTTTTTTGTGACCGGTCACGTGTCGTAATCAGTTCGGCAGCTATTCCAACCAACCATCTTTTGTGGACTCCTCCTGCCTGACCTGTCGCCAGAAACGCTGCTCTGTGTTCGCGTACACGTGTACATCGGGCCTGCCAACCACTGCCCTTGGCAGTGCCTCACCTTCCAGCAGCCTTCCCGCACTCCTGCACAATATTCAATTCTGCGCGTCTGCGAATGTGCAATTGCATCGAGTCGCATTTCTGTCAAACAAACTCGATCGATGCCCAGAAGCAAGACGGTGGACGAAATGAAACGACCAGAAATCAGCCTCTTGGCTCCAGCTTTCGGACGTACAATGCAGGTCTACTCGTGTTCCTCCTGAGCAAGAAAATTGAGCAGTCCTTCTGTTAACCTTGGTCAACTAGCCTCTGAAATCGGGCACTTAAACTTAGTCCAATCTTAAAACGCTAAAAGAAAAAAATGGCCAAGTCAAGAACATCAGACTCTCTCATCTCGAAACCAACGTCACAACCTTTCTCCCTCGCCGCACGCCGATCGCGCCACTCTCAGCACCAGCACCGTCTAAGTCATTATCCGCCTCACCTCCAGGCCTTAGCTCTCGCATCGCACACACAACCAGACGGCGCGTCGTGCCTTCCTCTTCCTCACCCCTCGCGCGACATCATCGCAAGCGCGATTTCCGGCACCGTCGGCGGCGGGCCGCCGGCGTTTCTTCCGCCAGCTGCATTTGCGAAGCTATCACCGGCGACGGGCGGCGTGCCCCGCGCCGCGCCGACGGCAAATTTGAGTCGGCTTCCTTCATGGATTACGAAGCTAGAAGTCGCAATTCAAGACGACTCCGCGATAAACGGCGGTGACAACGATGCCATCGTGGCGCCTTCCGAGTCGAGCCGCGACATAATATTCCAATCACCGCCGCGGCGTCACCATCATTCCATGCTGCCGCGCCGCCCCAACAGTGACGCCGGCGCGACGTCTTCTAGCTCGTCCGACAGCAAGAGAAGCGGCGGCAGCGGCAACAGCGACGACGGCAGCGGAAACCCGTCCGCCGCGTCCGCCGGCGCCCGTCGCGGCGGCCATCCCGCCGCGAGAGACGCCGCGGTCGCCCCCGCTGCGCCAGCGCCGGGATTCTCGCGGTTGGCGGTCTCTGAAAATGCTAGAAATTACCAGAAGCGGAAAGGCTTGGACGAGGTTGTCGCGGAGTTAAACCAGAGTCTCGAATACCCTCCGTACAGTCATGCCGCAGTTTCCCGAGGCTCCGCCGGCTGCGGCGGCACCGGCGGTGGGGTCGCCGCCGCGGCTAAATCGGTCAGCAGCAGCGGAGCTAGCGGGAGCAGCGCGCCGAGCCGTTCTCAAAGCGGCGGCGCGGCCACCGGCGGCTCGTTCTCGACGCAAATCAGTGGCGCTGCCTCCGCGGCGGCGGCGATGGCGGGAAGTCCGAGTCGGCATCACGTGCTAATGAGTCACTATCACGGACTGAGCCACCTGGCGGCCGCTGGTAGGATGTGTTCGTCAGCTGACGTGGCTGCTGCTGCCACCGTGTCATCAGCTCCTTGCTGGGAGAATCTTATGGCGGCTCC